GTGTTGCAATAGTGCAGTAGTGTTCCATGCCTCTTTGTATTTCACAATATTTATTCTAAATGTCCAGTGTCAGCCAAACTTAAGAAGGAAAAGTAACTGCAGCCCTCAACAAAGGTATTAACTTTCAACTAAGATGCTGATGTCACCTTCAGCTAAGGTCTTGCTGTCTGATGCAAAAAAAAATATTGAACTAAAAAAAGCTTAGTTGTACAAACATTACATAATGCAGCATGAGACAGCAAAAGATTTCCAGTGAAACAAAAGTGTGTCATGTATGATAGTGTGCACAGCTTCAATAGATGTCAGCCAGCTCTCTGGCACGGGTGTCTGTGCTGTAAGTCATGTTTAACCTGTAACAACCAGCCCATGCCACCTCTCTCCTCTCCCTGTGCTGTGCTGTGGTGCGGCTCTGTCAGAAAGCAGCTCCAATGGCCTGCAGGTGTTCTCTGGACACGAGAGCTGGACGCCCCTGTCTACTCCCACCCACCCTGGCATGCTGCCTGTCTCCCCTGCACCTCCTGCCCCAGGCAATAGCAGGTCAGCTCCAGGACAGGGTCACGGGGGGGCGGCTGGGATCATGTAGCATGGATCAAATATAGAGGTGTCATTCCTGGGACTGCGCCTTCTAGAGTTGGAGTTGGCAGTCGTGTAGTGGGTGACATGATAGCTGAAGACTATAAATTATTAGGGAACGAGACCTTTCACCAGTGTACTGTACTTCCATGCTGTAATCACAGAAAGGAGAATGACGTTAGCAAACCACACAGACTGTTGATGCACAAGGCTCTGATGCATTACTGAAGCTAACAGGCCTGGGAAATGTGATCAGGTCAGACAGCCTCAAGGGTTTGCTGACAGCAGACAGTCAAATTAAAAAAAAAAAACACCAAAAAGAAAGACAATTCAAGGCACAAGAAACTATCAAAAGACCGATAAAGAGGAACAGATAGCACATTTCATGATCTTGTGAGGAGACTACACAGCGGTATCTTGTTCGCACTGACATCTCCGAAATGCCATGGATCCTAACCTACATGAGCCAAGTGAGAATGGGAATTGGTTATAATACATGTTATCTGGGTTTGGGTTTATGGAATTGCCAGACTGATCCTCACCTATATATTTTATTCTTTTCCTCTCTGCGTTTACAAGTCAGTACCCTTGTCTGTGGACTGTGAGCAGCTGCAGTGTTAGCTCCTCCGGTACAGCAGGGGGCAGTGTGGGCTGTGCACAGGGACAGATGCTGCGTCCGGCTGGCTGCTCCACTGCTACTTCCTCCTGCTCTGCAGTGAGCGTGCCGGGCCCAGGAGCAGTTACCGTGGAAACTGGAGGGGAGCAGCACACCCACATCAGACTGGGCGGGGCGAGCTGGGCTGCGGTCTCCGCCCACTCCTTCTGAGAACGCCTTAACCATGGACAGGACTTGGACTGGACCAGGCCTTAAGGCCTATCACAGGTCCGGTCTCCTTCGGAGAAACTCGTTGATCTCGTTTCGTTTTCGTCTTTACAAGGAATAAAGAAAGATGGCTTCACTTATTGCTCCACACTACATTCGTCCCGAGGAGTGCAAAATAAATGACAGAGTAGATTCTGTGCCAGTATTAGATAAGGCTATTCATTTGTTTTTCCACAGAGAGTTCAACTGCGGGAGAGAACCCTGAATGGCTGAGGCCTTTTGTGGGGGCTTAAACGTGAAACATTCATAACTTCACACTTATGCTGAAAATAAGATAAATTTGTGTTTCGGAGAGAAAAATGAGGAAAAAAAAGTTCTTGGAAACAGGAAGAAGCCAGAGGCCTTTTCAACATTCTCTCCTTTTTGCTCAAGAAAAGAAACCGCCTGTGCAATTAACACTTGATGTGTGTGTGTGCTCACGAGCCATTGGCACACAAACCCCAGGTTTAACAGAAAGATTGTGAAAATGGTTTTGAATGATGCTTGTTGAGCCGTCTTTTGTTTTAATGGGCTGTAAATAGATTATGGTTTCCTCTTAGTAGAAAATGTCTGTGAACTCTTAACCTGGTCTGCTGTAAATAAGAAATAAAATTATCATGTTTCCCTCTAAAGTGTCCGTGTCGGTAAAACCACTGTTCTGTCAGGGACAGCAATGACCTGCAGCCAGCGCTCTTCACAGGCTCCTGACCTGGGGGCTCAGGGCTGCGGGCTGTGCCCTGTGTTCTTCTTGTGGGTCTTTTTCACTGACACACTTGTCGTGGTGAGGTGGTTGGTACTGCTGGCTTCGAGTTCTAAGGCCCCGGTTTCAATTCCAGCCTCGTTTAGCCCTGTCTGTTCATTCACCCGGTGCTCCGGATTTAACTGCAACTCTGTTTTCAGATTTCGGGGCTAGTAAGAATCCAGCACTGGTGAGCTCATTTTAAACCGCAATAAAAGCCAAATGGTTACAAACAGTTACTTGTAAAACTTCCCATTTACTGTACGTCACAAAATAGATTCAGTCTCAGGTACGCGCAGCGCTATGTTCAGGGATTCAGAACGAAAGCCACGAAACTTCGGGTGACGTGTTGCAACCCGATGACGTGCTCGTGAATACATTGCTTTTTATCCAATAGAGACGTTGCTCTCGACTTTGAGACGGCTTTGCCACCAAATACTATTTGTTAACTCTGCATGTGATCACGTTAGGACATTTCTGTGGTCAACAACCAGTCTTTATTCGCTTGTACATCACATGACATTGGTCATTGCAGTGAATAGTGAGCAGGAAGGGCGACATCACGTCGCCGTTCGTGAGGAACTGGAATGCAAGTTTACAGGCGATTTACAGTAATTTCACCAAGATCACGATTTTGTACTTAATCCGAAATTAATATTTGTTTCCTATAACGTCAATGAATTTATTTTGATACCGAGATTTAATAACCGGTGTGAGAAATTGGGACTGCAGTTCCCCTTTAATCCCTCCACCCGGAAAAGGGTGTCGCCTAGTTTCTCTTGCCCCTACACCCCACTTTTGAGCGTGGGACTACATGGCCAGGCAGCTCATCGATAGAGCTGGGACTGACAGTGGGAGATGTGGGAGAGGACGCCATGTTCGATTTCGTACATGTTCTCCTGAAACGACATGGAAGCTGAAAACAGGCTCTTTTACCTTAGCAGTGAACTAAGACCTTCTCTCCTGGTCGTCCAATAACCCCCTCTAAGTATTAGCTTACATGAAGCACATAATATTTCTCGTGTGCTCCCTCGGAGCTTTACAAAACTGTTGGTAATGAACCCTGTGCTGCCACAATCTTTAAAGAAGGCCACGCAGACACCTAATGTCTAAATGCAATCATGCAATTAAAATATTATCGGGAGGATGAGATATGGTGATGGGGGACGATGTTTGTTTTTTTTCCGGGAGAGGGGAATGGTCAAACCAAATTGATGTATCATGGACCATTACTTCAAAATTCACGGTTAGCAATTATCTAATTAAACCCCCTTCTGAAGAGTTTTGGGCGCCACTTCTACCGCATGTCCAAGCCACTGGCAACCTGATAGTAGCCCATCGGTGAGAAAATGGATTTTCCACCCAGAATGAGCGAACGAAATAACACTTTTATTTTCACTATGCAATATGAAATTTTAAAAAAGCAGGCAATTATATCTCCATAATATTTTTAGCATCTTAAAAAAGTAATTGTAATCACATTCACGGTAAGTGTCATTCTGTTGTTTTCACACGTGGATAATAAAACACGAGCTCTCAGCCGCCAAATCAGTATTTGGCAAGCGGATGCAAGTACATAACCGACTCCACAGTAACTCCAGTTCTGTACTGATTCCAATGGTTTTAATGGGAGAATTATCACCTGAGGTTGCAGGGGTCTCTGGCACTTGGACATGGTTTCTGGATTTTGTTGGGGTTTATTTCAAGAGAGTGACAGGGACCGACTCAATGGTTTACTGCGCCTAAAATACGAATCCCGTCTCCGGTTCCTGCTGTATTCGTCTCATCAGGCCGGTATTTCATTAGTCAATGAAACAATGGTAAAACATACCAAAAACGAAATCGGTAGGCAGAACGTAACAACAGCATCATTTGTTACTTGCTATTGTTACAAAAAAATCAAACTATTATCTGCACTTGTAAACGTTTTGTGTGCTCTCCCAAGTGTTTTAGTAGTTATAATATTGTATCCAGATAATACACAGTCAGAAAACAAACGTTAATTTTAAATATATTTTGGAGATATGGCTTTTAGAGAAAAAACCCGATTTTTACAGTCAATGGAGAGAAAACGAGCAGTTACAGTATATAAATATTGCTTGATAAATCCGATATTTATTCCTCAGAAAAAAACACCTGCTGTTTATTTTGGGATTATGTGCGCAGTGCAAAATATATTATAATATATATAAGAGGATGAACTATGCTTTATGTTTCTGCTTTTAGGGAGTATAAACTATCCCCTCTGAAAAAATACATTTAGCGGAATGTAAAGATAGTGTTAACAATCGTTGTGGAGGATTAGAATTCTCTCATAAAACACTTAACTATCCCAACATGTAGGATGGATCAGCTACATGAAAGGCTTTAGAGACAAGTGCTACAAAAGCAAACACCGAAGTATTTAATAACAAATCAAGATATTCACTGTACTACTTCTCCTCACATGCAAAGTCTCAATAATTATTTTCTTAAGCGTTTTAGAAGTTATAAAAGGCACTAGTTACCAATTAGTTACTAATGCCAGAGTGCTACTTACTACTAGTTACATTAGTTACGAATGGCAGAGGGCTTTTTTCATAATTATACTCCAGGCTGAAGTTAGAAAATCATCTGCTTTTATAACGTATAAAACTAAAATGAAATCATGGCTTAAAGCAAATCTCTCCTATAATCATTAATCGTCTGATGTCTCTCTTTTAATGACTAACATTATGTCATTGATTTGGGTAAGCGATTGTCTTCTAATGTGACTCCGACATATCTATTAATTTAACACTCTTATTATTTGTGTGTATTATGCCACGTGTAATATCCCTTTTCAATTTAATACACGATATATCTTGAATCGGTATGTTTTGTATGTTTTTTTTCTACGTCTTGTTAATAAAGTGCTGCCCAGGGATTAAAGATGTAAATTAGCTGTTGACTAACGTACTGTACTGTAGGTGCTTTTAAGGCGCTGTGGAATGTCTCTTAAATAAACTGAAGTATTGGTGAAGCTAATTCGCAGCGGCGTGACTCTGGCACCATCTACTGGGTCGGCGTAGCGGCTGCACCATGCCGGCCAGGAGTTCCCGGAAGTAGCGCTGTACTGAAACATTGGCGCCACTGTTTGCAGTTCCTACTGGCGCAGGAAAAACAAACCTAAAGTCATGTCAAACTTTCTCCACACTATCAAACAAAATATCCCACAGAAGGATCCCGAGTGGGCCGTACAGGAGAAGGACCTGAGGCAATGGGGCCTGACAGGTTGGTTGCTGTGACAGTTATAGCGCTGTGAACGTGTTGATAACGCAAAGATATGCTCAACAAAATAAACACGGAAAGTGACCGAAACCTCGAGACGACTTTTCAGATGCATGAAATGTCTTAAATAACTGATTGAATCTAACCATTTCTGGAATATGAGAGAAGCTGCGTCTAATTTTCATTTGGCAAATGCATCTTGTACGCAAGCTCTTTCAGTGGTAGGCGGAGTCCAACTGCACAGGGAAGTTTGCATGAGACGAAGGGTAAAACAATGTGACAATAAATCGGCTGACAGAATGTAGCAACAACATAATTTTTAACTTACTTTTGTTATAAAAAAATCCAAATCTAAAACTCCTATCTGCACTTATAAGCGTTTTGTGTGCCCTCCCAAGCGTTTTAGTATTTATAAAACTGTATCCCATTTCCAAAAAGCTTGCTGCCTTTTTCACTAAACTGAAGTCTTCTTTCCAGCTCGTGTACTGTATAGTTTCGAGGGCTCTTTGATACCTTGAAGTGATCTGCTTGCTTGTTTAGACTTCTGGTTAACTTGTTTCTTCGGTTAGTCCTGTGTTTCAAAAACACCTCTCTTCTAGGGCACTGGTTAAATAACGTCAGTGTAGACGACCTTAAACACCTTTCTTGCTGTTTAACATACTTTCCTTTAGTTTTGAATAAAGGGACGTTAAAAGCTAAACGGTGTCTGATAAGCAGAAACAGGTGGGAATGAAAATATACACATTCCCCAAATTATTAGGTTTTCCATCTGCGGAGGTCTGGTTGGATATATTTAATGCTGCACACCTGAACAAGGGAGACAGGATTGATGATCCCAATTACGTTTTTTTTTTAACGATTAAACACGTTTAAGAAATGAAAGCACATTTCAAAATGGAAAGCTGCCTGGGATTATAAAGCTACTGGAATAACCACCAGAAAAGACTGGAGCCCTCAGGACCTAAGAGGACTGCACATCGGATTTGACAGTCAGCATGCCTTTTTAACGATTGAGCTGGGTTACTCTTTCCCGTTTTCTCATATATCCATCCGTTTTCTAACCACTTCATCCAACACAGGCTTGCGGGGGAGCTGGAGTCTATCCTGACAAGCAGCAAGTGCAAGGCACATACAGGACACCAGTCCATCAAAGGGCACACACACACGTGGGAAGAACATACAAACTCCACACAGACAGCACCCCAGGAGTTGAACCAAGGGCCCCAGAACTGTGGGGCACCCCCATGCCACCCTTCATGTTATAATGGTTTCTTGTAACTCAATGTGGCAGGCCAGCTGGCTCGAGGCATTAATTTCAGTTGACCTGTGACTAGAGGGCCTTAATCACTTGTATATAGATTCACCTATGGTGAAATAGTGAATTAATTAGATAATTGGTTAAGGGTGAGTGGCACATTCTCAAAGGGGTGTCAGGTAGCCTAGGTGTGGTTTATAAAAAGTTCCACAGTGATAGTTGGGGTTGGGTTAGCTGGAGTGAGTGGCCTTGGTGTTTATTATAGAACTGGACTTGAAATACATCTATATTTCACCGTATTTTCTTCCTTTCATTGTTTGTCCATGAGCTTGGGCCTCATAAGCCCACCAAGGGAGATATTGGCCTGTCACTCTCAACACAGCTATATTGTCTGTGACTCATCGGATGGGATTTTAACTCATCCTGGAATTGCCTGTGTTTCCACGAGAGTGGAGCTGGTTCCTTCAATGTAATCAGAGGTGCTGCTCACCCCAGCTGTGAGTCTTTCTGCTGGGGAGGAGTGCAGCAGGGTCACGTTATTCCAAGGTTATCCTCTTCAGCCCCTCAAGACGGAGTCAGAAGGCCACAAGTCTTCCCACAAGGCTCCTGCATTCCCATCCTCTCCCGTAGATGGATGAATCAGCTCTCTTAAGTCGGACCCCTGTGACCAGCACAAATAATGAAGCCCACCACGTTTGTCTGTGTCGGTTTGTGCAGTTGAAAATAGTCTGTTTGCCGCCTGTTTTCAGGATGCAGCCCCCCTCCAATGACAACAAAAGTCACATCACCCCCGAAGGTACAAAAGTATATCAGATTTTGCTTTCAACAGCACAGACTAGCCACAAATGGAACACCACCAATTGAGACCAATTTGGTTCTTCTCCTGTGTTCTAGGGGGGAGCTGAGTGACATCACATCCCTGAAAAGTAACAGTGCTATATCTCAGAAATGAAACCAGCACAAATGCAACTTTCAAAGGCACAAACCAGCACCAGAAAGAGCGCAAACGAATGTGCTGGCATGTATTGTTTGTGCTGTTTGTAGGGGGGCCAACTTCACAGAGCTGGATGGATACCATTCTTACATATGGGTTATACACCTGATCTGTTGACAATTCTTGCATGACTCACAATTTATTTCAGAGTTAATGGAGAGCTCACAGAGTTGGCACCAGCTTCTGTTGTGTCCTAGCAACAGCTCAAATTATTTTAAATTAGGGTACAAACAAGGGTGTAAGACACAGGAAAATGAACTGGTCTGCAAGTTCTCCCCTCACCGGAGTACTTGGAGATGTCTAAAGAGGCCAAATTAAGGGATTTACCCAACCAAAACTTGCCCCCAAAGTACCCAGAATTTAGAAACTTGCCAATTTTTGTTTTACTAATGTGTGGGTGATGTTTACATCCATGCTCAAAGTTGAAAAATAAAACTGATTGCCCCTTTAATGATAGAGATAACAAGAGTGAATAATGCTTCTGCAAAATGATGCTCTAATTCACACAGAAGTGCCAATTGTGAGATGGTAAAAAGAAATAATAATGGCACACAATTTATCTACAACTGTACGTGTGCAGCATTTCAGCTAAATCACTGCCCTGTTGTCTGATTCCTCAGATCTTGGAAGTTAAGAAAGGCTGGGCCGGGATAGCTTTGGGGTGGGATATCTGTAAAGATCCCGGGGAACCTAAATACAGCAGATTTTGAGAGTCACCATTAACTCAACCAATTTTCAAAGATATTGAACAATTTCATTTTGATCAATATAACGTGTGACTTAGTGATCAGTTGGAACCCAACACTTATGTATTCTTCAGGTCTCAAGGACAAAAGGTCTTTTAATTGAACAGACTCTGAGTATAATGTATCAGTAACATAGAGACGTTGTCTTCTTGTTTAATTGTATCAGGGCTCCCCAGGATTAGTTTGCAGGTTTTCTTTTGTTTGTGAACCAGTAGGTGGCGCTGTTCCCCGTGGATTAGGATTTTCAATCCAGTGCCACAGTATGGTGACAAAGGACACTTGGCTTTAGCAGGTGCTATTTTTCCGGTGAGAGACTTGACTGCTTGGTCAATAAAGATTCCATGGCACTGTTTGTAAGATTTAAGAGTGTCCTGGTTAAATTTTCCTTTGGACCTGTACAGTCTGGCCTCCCTAACTTACCTGGATCATTCAACAGAGGAAGCAATTTCACTCGCTTCTGTACCTGAACTGCTGAGCGTTATCCAGGTAGGGGGTGCACTTCAGTGGTTAATCGGCAGAGCTAATGGCAGCCTTTCTCCTCTTAGGGATCAAGCTGAGGTCCTACCAGCTGGCTGGCGTGGGCTGGCTGACTCAGTGCCTGAAGAATCAGCAAGGCTGTATCCTTGGGGACGAGATGGGCCTGGGAAAAACCTGCCAAGTGTGTGATGACTCTCTTATCCGTGTTAACCAGTGTTGTTCTATTGGGATGAGTTATAGTCATAGGAGTAACAGTAAACATTAGTATTAGTAGTTGGCATCATAGTAGTATGCTCTCCAGAAGCTGAAACTGTACACCGTAGTAATTCGGAACAGTACGTGGAAATTGGAAAAAGGAATCTGCGCTCACGAACCTTTTCAGTGACCATGTTTGTTTCCTGGGAAGCTCCATAAAGCGTTCAACTGGTCAGCCCAGCACACCTGGTGAATTCTGGGCTAATGTGGGCTTTTCTCTGATGACTGAGGATTAAAATCCTATCAAGCTCCTCCAGGGCTTCAGTAGTTAACAGGTTTTGCACTTCCTAGGCAATGCAGAAACGCAGAGCCTGACGAGTCAATTCCGGGTGTGCGTTAGTTTATCAGTTCAGCCTGGCTCTGTAGGGTGAATGGTCTGTCTTTTGCTTCACCAGGCCCGTCTTTGGGACTGGCTCAGCCATCAGACAGAAATATAATCCTCTCTGTCTCGCTGTACATGTTCAGACTATCTCCCTGCTGCTGTATGTATCCGGGGCAAAGAAAGATCAAGGTCCCTTTCTGGTTCTGAGCCCGCTGTCCGTGATGACCAACTGGACGGAGGAGCTGCAAAGGTGAGCACATGCTGTCACTACCAAACACCTGAGACCGCCTTTTAAAAGTCACCGCATTTTGAATGAACAAACCCCTTGACATTTTACTGTAGCTCAGTCTGCCCTTGCTCAGTGTTTTTTGCCACATTAATAGCAGATGTAAGTCTTCTACCATGTCTCTGTACCTCTTGCATACTGGAGTATTGCAGTCCTGTTGTGTTCATGGGTCTCTCTAACTTGGCAGCAGCTTCAGACCCAGGAAGATATTTAAACTGGTTAAGCTAAGAAAGCTACAGCCATTGAGGCCCAGAGCAGTGCACACCAGCACTGTGTATCACCCTGCTGCACACCAGCACTGTGTATCACCCTGCTGCACACCAGCACTGTGTATCACCCTGCTGCACACCAGC